TAACATAGCATTCAAAATAAAAAACTCAATATTTACTACAAATTCATTGATGTAACAAATATCCGTCTTTCTACTCCTACTTTTAAAAAAGATGTTATTTGCGGTACAGTTTATAGTTCAATAATACATTTTCATTGTACAAAATTGCATTCATTCGAAGAATTCAATTTGTATTTTCCTCTGTATAAAAACTGAATGTAGAGAAGTTAGATGCTTAAACGACCCCCCACATCTTCTCAAGACCACGAGCAGGATTATCCCCTTTTTTTCAACCCTCCCGCTAAAAAAAGGGGTTCTAAATTTACGACCTGTCCGCGTATAGGGTGATTTCATCTTGATGTACTCCATCTTTCATTTAAATCAATTTCCTCGTCATTATAAATATCACGAATATACATCAAATAGTTTTCTGGTTGCAATTTTCTAATTTCGACTATGCGTAATGTATGATTTACGCATGCGCGCGTTGAAAGAAATGTTTAATAAAGTAAACAAATAAATACAATTTTTTTTTTTGTAAATTTTGATACCCTTTAGATCATAATTGTTCTTTATTTCATAAATTACGGTTTCATATTTTTAATCTTATAATTTCTGCAAGCCATCTTACCAGATTTAAATTGATGATCTATAATCTGGAAAAACCAATAATCCGGAATCGTTGAAGTCCCGACGAGTCCGGATTTAAGACTTTTGACTGTATTCTCTTTTTTTGTAAGAAATTCGATGTGCATCTGAACCAGTCTTGAAGGGGAAACTGCTTCATATCCCCATTTCTCCCTAATATAAATGGTGGCTGTGCAAAAGAGCGTTGCATGTGAATGGGGCTTATGTCTTTGAAGAATAATTACTGCAGACGAAGGTTTTTAATAACCTTTTATTTTAACTAAAATGAACAGATGCATGTGCTTGGTGCTCACAATTCACTACCACTTGTGGCTAATTCAAATTGACAGAAAAAAATAGAAATGTAACAAAACATTCATAAATTTAAAGGCTAACGACTGGCTCTTAGCTTAATGCTAAATTGGCCGCACATAGCAAAGCTGAGCCTAGAAATATCAGTTTAAACTGAAAGGTGTCTAACACCGACTAGAGAGCTAATTTGACATCTAAAAAAATAGCTGTAATTATATTAATAATTATACTAGCAGGGAATCGAGATTTGGACTTTTCCCTCTTTATTTTGGTACCAACATATTTCTGTTAAAATTGTCTTCTCATTCTAATGTTGAATGAATTTGAGCTGTTTATTTTGTTTCTAATATTCTCTCTCTTTTCATTAACTGTTTTATCATTTTTCATCAATTTGCAGAAAAAGAGTATTTTTTCTTTCTGCCATTCCTTGAAATAATACATTATGTTGTATATTCAGGGCTTAAATTAAGCATAACCTCTTCCTTTATGATATTCTTTCTATTTTTCCTAATTGTTCCAACCAAATGTGTCTTGTGCTCTAATAACGTTTCAGCGAAATTAGTGTTTGTGTACCAGTTGTCCGTGAATATCCTTAGTGGAACAAAGGTTGACATGGTTTAATAACGACATTGGTTGGTGTTGTATTTACAATGTTAAAATGTTTGCCGGCATATGTATGCAACTTAGTATAACTAGGAATACATACTTTAAAAAAAAATTATGCTGCATGTATGTAACTTATTCAGGCCATCAATTTCATTGGGCTTCTCATTATTTGCAAAATGAAGCATTTAATAAAACTTCAAATTTGTCCTGACTCATTTTTCTTTTAGAGAACTGTTGACCAAACATCAGGTCTCTCGATCAATAATCACTCATAGGTAGTTTTACTAGAACCATGTAAACAATTAGGCTAAAAATTCACTATCTCATTTTCATTTGTGTGTTTCCATTCGTGTATCTGAGAATATCTTCTGCTTTCAAGAAGTTTGTTTGAAAAGAACTGTTTTAAAAAAGTTTGTCCAGTACAAACAGTGCATAAAAGTTTTCAGGTTTTGAATCACACGTAGATTGTCTCAGAATATAAAGTTTCATACCTGAAATTGCAGTAGATGGAATCATGCTGTACTGATGACCTTTAAGTTCTGACCATTTTGTTGATTTTAGAATATTATCCAATGTTGATGCTTGTGAAACTTCATTATCACATATAGGCTTGGATAAAATACATCAGCATTTCTTAATAACTGTGTGCATCACTAAATCTTTGCTCTCAGTAAATAACATCTATTTTCTCATGTAGTCTGATTCAAATTTCTGTAATTGGGAAACAAAGTTTTTAATCACACTCACAATTATCAAACTCCATTTTGGGATATTGTGAGGTGAAAAAATAGTTAATGCACTGTAGGATAAGGTTATGTTATGTGATGAATATCTGCAAGTAACTGATAATGCACGAATAAATAACTGCCAAGAACACCAGAATTTAAGTTGTATGCATGGCAGGCAAGGTGACCTGTTTGGGTGCATGAAACAAAATTATTCCATTAGCACTGTGAAGGGCACTGATGACTGCACATAAAAAAGTTAAGGTTAATTAAAAAATGTACCTAATTATGTTTTTATTAACTAACAGAATAAACCTAAAAACTAAGTCATTTTTCAATCAATTTATAGTACAGGGTGGTTATAATTATAGTTTTACTTAGGAATGGTTATAAAGGGAAAACTACTGGACCAAATGTAATCAAACTTGGTAATCATGTAAAGGAGGTCATGGGAATTAATTTTAAGAGAAAAAGTTAAAAACTTGCCACCAGGGAGGAAATAAGACATGAAGGCATCGGTTTAAAATGTGTGTAATCATTTTTGAAACGTGTTACAAAGCATGTTCATTGTGACATCCACCATTTTCCGAAAGCAAGTTATATTATATTACTACATTCTCAACTGCAGCTCTTAGCATATCAGAGAGAATGTTACGGACATGGCAGTGTATCGCATCTTTCAGTTACACCAAATTGTTTAGATTATCACCATGAACAGTGCTTTTGAGATAACCCCACAGCCAAAAGTCACAGGTGTTGAGGTCTGGTGACCAAGGTGGCCAGGACAAATGTTGGCCTGTAATATGTTTACTTATGAAATGCTGCCTAAGTAACTGTGTGACACATGTACCAATGTGCAGTGGAGCCCTGTCCTGCATATGAATCGTGGTGTCTAAAATGCCACGTTGTTGCAGTTTAGGTATCATGAAATGTCTTAACATTGACTAAGTGAGCTGCAGTCACAGTGCATGTAACAAATCCAGCTGTCAACTGCTCTTCAAAGAAAAGTGGTCCAATTATGAAACGAGCTGTCATACCACACCAGATGGTGACTATCGTGCAGTTATGGGTGTTGCCATTGTCAATTAGGTTAAAATGGTCTTCATCTGTCCACATAATGTTCTGTGGCAAATGTTCGTCTACTTTCATTCATACAAGGAATTCCAAAGTGAAAGATTCTCATGCAGCAGGATCATTAAGCTCCAAGTTCTTGAGCAAATTTGATTTTGTATGGGTAGAACTGAAGCACTTTACAGACAGTTTTGTACACCGTACTCCATGGTACATCCATTCGACATGTGACAGCATGTACTGTGTGTGCTTTCCATTGTTTCTACTTCCACAATAAATGCTACAACCTCCTTGGTTTCCTCAAAAGCAGGTTTCCATCCCCTCCTAGGTGCAACAGATAACAAACCCATGACTCAAACTCTGCCATCATTTTCCTCAGACACTGTGATACCATTGGTCCTCAACATATTTATCTTACTGAATTGATGAGAAGGCCAATGAAATTGATGGCCTGAATGAGATACATACATGCAGCATAAATGTTTTTTAAAGTATGTACTGTTCACTTTTAAATTGCATATATACTGAACTGATCTTACTGAACACGTCGTTCATTGCTATCGCATTCATAATAATATTTCACGAGAAAAGCACGGTCTTGTATGGTTAGAGACATTGGCGATCCATAACAGGAAGAACTCTGACAAATACGCTCACTTTTATCTGAAAAATCAAATGACATGTAGAGTGCATTTACTTTTTCCTGCCATAAGCCAATTACAAGCCATTGCAGATTTGCATAATCCCCACAAACAGTTTCGTTTTTGAAACAATTAAAAACATTTTAAACCAATGTCTTCATGTCCTAGGGCTGAATTCAGGCTTCAGAAATCACAAATTAGCGATCTATAAGAAAACGATTTCCAGGATGCACACACTTTTGCAATTGATTTGCGATCTCGCATTTTCTAATCATTAATTTGTTAATTTGTCATTTTCATGGATTTCTCCCTTACACGGATGGTACACTCGACTTCTATCACCATTAAGTGGTAATTTTGTTAAGGTCAATGTTTCTTAAGGGTATACAACATGTTAAAACCCATGTAACAAAAGGTTAAGTTAGATTCCAATCCTTGTTTTGTTTATCAATATTGCATACAGTGCTATTTCCCTCTGATGGTGAGATTTTTTTAACTTTTTTTTGTGTGTGAAAAATAAATTCCTATGACCTCCTTTACATGATTACCAAGTGTGATAATATTTGGTCCAGTAGTTTTCCTTTTATGACCATTTCAAAGTGGAACTTTAATTATAACCACCCTGTATAATATTCTATGGCAATCAATATGTTAATGTTTCCATATTAGATAAAATGTTATTTATTATTAAGTTGTTTTGCAGGCTTAATGAAATATATGCATAACTTTGTGAAAACATCATGTAAAGGTTATATAACATATTGCATTAACTAAAAGTTCTGAAAATATTTTACTATTTGGAATATTTGGTAAGATTTTATAATTAGAATGTTATGTCTGGGATCAATAAAATTAAAAATAAAAAAGAAGGAAAAGAAACTTGCAATCTAACTATATCACACTGTTTGCATTGAACAGAAATTAATGTTAATAATTTCTTTCATATATTATCCCATGTCTCCCCATTTTCCCCTTTTTTAAAGGAAAGGTTTTGGATTCAGAAATTGAAAGTTTATGAATTTTCTGTTGTATATTTTAGCCCCAGGTGCACCTTACACACATTGGAAGCAGACTGTATATTATTTTGATGAGTATTTAACTGTGAAAAGAGGAGAAGAAATATATGGTGTTTTCAGTATGCAACCTAATCCTAAAAATAAGGTAAATTTTACTTTTCAAGTGTCTGAAATTTAAGTAAATCTTTTAAAAATACGTATTAAAAAGTTTATTTAATTATATTTGGTTTTAGAAAGCTATTAATTATAGATATTTAATGTTCACCATTATATAAAAATGATAGTTTAAAAGGAAGTGATTTTTATTACTTCATTATTTTGTCCATGTATGTATAAAAACAGAAGACTGTACATTAACATAAACTATAACAGTTAGAGTAATTCAGTAAATAAATACTGCAAAAATCTAATCTACTTTGTTACTGACTTCTCTCTTAAGGTAACATTCTAGTTCAAACACAAGACTTAACATTTGAATGTCATATAAAGACTGAAATGTTATTAAACTGCTTTTGGTTTTGAGCACAATATCTACAACAGGAATAGAAATGTGCTTTTAACATTCACAGTGGCTGCTCAGTAAAATATGAAAAGAACCATTAAAAATTATTTCTATTGCAAATGTATCTTATGGCAGAGCTAAAGCAATCAGTGTCATTGGTAAAGTTTATTTATCTAAATTGGTTTCATTCTAAATTTTATTTTCTGCTCTAGAATAGAAGTTCTAGAACCAAAAGAAAAGAACTAAAGGAAATTTAATTAAAAGATATTGATGCCATAAAGCATAGATTCCAACTACCATGGATTTTTCTATAGTTTTTATGGAGCGATAAGCTATGGAAAATACTGGAGAAACTATGGATTCTACTTGAAAGGAGGCAAGGGAAATGGCATGCAAAACAGAATCAACTTATTCAGCCGATGATTAGCAAAATGATCATACCAAAATATACATGTTAAGTTGATGATTTTGCTATTTTTGAAGAGTAACCATTTATAGATCAGTAAATTTGGAGCCATTTCTTTCGTATCATATACTGTGCAGGGAAAGGCTTGTTTACTTTGTAGGTTGTGTTCAATTACTTTATGGTCAGAAAATAAGACACATGCTTCTTCTGAGTTGTGATTAACCTGGAAGATTTTGAAATCCATGAATTATGCTGCCTTTGAATAAAAGGCAAAAATCATCAAGCCAGAAATTGAACGATTTGTATTCTAAAGAATTTCCACGCAATAAAGCATCTAAAATTTCTGTAAATCATGCAGTTTGCACTAGCAACAAAACTTTTTTGCATGTAGCATAAAACATGACTGTAAAAGGCATGTATTTTCTCAAAGCTCTGATGAAATTAGTGCTATAAAATTAAAAGTGTATGAAATTTCTTAAAAGGCAGTGAAACGGATGTGGTAAAGGCTGAATGCTTTTTAATTAAACAACCTTCTAATTCCAGTTTTGGACTATTCAAAGCAAATTTTAAACACGTTTCCAGATTCTGGCATGGCAAAATAATCTCATTCAAATGCATTCTAAAAAAGAATTTTTTTCTTTGAGAGAGAGATAAGAATCAGGTTGTGTTTCAACCAAATCTGATGTGAAAATTGTTGAAACCATTTTTATTGAAGAAGTAAATGTGCAGGGAAAAAAAGAGCGAAGTTGTAGAAAAGTAATTATCTGATTCAGAACATAAGCTTTCAAAGCTTCTTATTTTTGCGTTCATAATTTATAAATGAATCAGAAGTGCTATAATTGATATTAATATGTATATTTGTTTATCTAGAATTTATTTATTTTTTAAATTTCTGTGTAGAAATCAGAATCCAAAAGCCTCATAATGATATATTGTTTATGTATTCTAATTTCCTCTAGGATTATTTGTGATTTAAAGTATTTGCTTCAATATTATATTAGTAGATTTAGTGATATTTCTCCTGGAGTAATAAAATAAAATTTATAATTAAATATGCTTATGATTTAGAAGTATTTTTAATTATTCATTTTTCATATTTATGGATTTTCAGTTAATTAACTTATTACATTTAACAGTTAATTTAAAAAATAGATACTTTGGTCATCCGCCCAACCTTCCACAGTAGCCATTTTAAGAAATGATGGTTCGCTGAAAATTGCATAAAACAGCAACGAATTAACAAAATTAAAAACACAAAAAACATCCAGATTGAAATACTAAAAACTACATAAAAGAAACATCCATAATGAAAGACTCAAAATTGCATAAAAGAAGAACAATTTAACTAAAAATGCAACAAACATCTGTAATGAAGCACTTTCTTTGCCCATATGCACAATATTCCGTGTTAACTAAAAAAAAAAAAAAAAAAACCCGAGAAATGCAGAATTCTCAGCATTGCAGGGCAACTTGCCATTACTCTCCATATACACATTGATTTGATTTAACTTAAATAAATAAATTAAAGGCTTGCACAAATAAACTTCATGGAATGTGCATTTCTGCACTCTGCTACTAGGCGAATTGCCATTTTTTTTGGGGGGGGGCACCTCCAAGGTGACCTTAAGTTATAAACTTGACCCTCAAATGTCGAAACTGCACACATTACTAACAGCTTCAAAATCAGTGGTGTTCTCAACCTTTCTACTTCCTTGTACGAAGTAAAAAGGAAGTAATTGTAATTGCGAAAAGTTTCAGGCAGCATATTTCAACGAAAATATCCATTTTGATCACTATTCAATGAAATTTAATGATGTTTTTGCATGATATCTGAACATAAGGACAGAATAAAAGACACTTTTTCTTCCAAAAAAATTATAAAACTGCTTTAAAATGAATTCTGAAGAGAATTTTGCGTGGCGTCTGTACGAACGTACGTACATACGTACCTCGCACAACTCAAAAACGAGTAGCCTCAGAACATTGAAATTTTTTATATAGGACTGCTATAACATGTAGATATGCACCTCGTATTTTGGTTGCAATCGGCCGTACAAACCTATATAAATATATTTATATATATATCCACTCTGTTACCCGGCTCAGTGATCTCAGTTTCTTTACTCTTATATGTTTGTAAATTGTACATTTTTTGCTTAAAAAATGATTGAATTATATTGTTCTTATCTTCTGGTTAAGGTTTTTCTGCCTTTAGTAAATCTGTATGCAATATTTTTAGAATTATCAACAATTTTAAAAATGTTTAAGTGCTGCTAAGCCTTTTTTTTTATAGCGGCCATTGATTGTTTACCTTTGAAACAGCAGACTAGTGGATTTGTTGCCAATCTAGAGAAACGTAGCTTCGCAACAGCAAAGATAACGCCTTCATTTATTATTGCGAATTAAGTCATACTTAATCCTTTCTGGAATTTTTTCGAGGAAATAAGCGTTTAAGATTTACTTCGTAATTTTTAATACAAATATTTTGAGTTTTTATGTATTTTTGCCTTGTCGCAAAGTGACAGCTGAATTAATTGAATGAGAAATACTCAATCGTCTGTGAAAAACTGTTTCTTTTTTGGTTTGTTTGCTTAATTTCTTTTGTACATAATTCTAGCTTTATTATAGTATTTGAATAGAACATGTGGCAACGATTAGATAATTCTTTAAATGATATAAATTTTGTGCATTCTGAGTTATAATATGAACGAAATATAATACTGTTAAGTAAACCTAGCGCCAGAGTGTCGCTATGGTAAACAAATGCTAGAGTGAATTTTAAAGAATGCATTTATTCTATTGTGATTTATGCGCTGTCGGCGAAGTAGATTTAATTCAATCCAATAAGTTTAAATGAAATGAAAAAAAAAAAAAAAAATGTGTATAATTTAATATTTCTTCCGTACAAGGAAGTCATGTGGTGTACGCATCAGATTTTTGCCTCATGCACCCCTTTAACCATTGCTAAAAGATCATTCTTTCCTTTCCCAGACCAAGAAATACATATATGTTTATTTAAATATAGATTATTTTTAACGTTTTTTATAAATTAAACAACCAAAAGTATAGGAAATGTTGATAAATAACAAAACTTCAATATAAGTAGTTTCTTTTTTTCTTTCTTTCTTTTTTTTTTTTTTTTTGTAATCTAACACTAAATACTTAAAAACTAAATAAAAGGCTGATCTCATTTCGTGCTGAACCTATGTATTTCTCCTCTGGTTGAGAACTTCTGCTTTAGATAGTTACAGGGAATGCTGTTACCAGATAAATGCATTTTCTTAAAATTCTTGGTTGCCTACTTCAGCGACATGGCACTTTGCTCTGTAATTCTTGTCACAGTTAAGTAGATAATCAGAGTACCACCATGCATGCATATTTTCATATATATATGTCATAATAAAAGCACAAGGAAAAGATGGAGCAGTGTCGATGCGTGATTAGATCCAAATTGAAGACAATTTTTGATTGCGTATTATGCTAGTAATGCTAACTTGGTAATATCTAAAGAACTTGGCAGTCGAGGCAGTTTTAATTCCATTTTTATTTCCAATTGATATTTGTGGCTACAATCACTTGGCACTCTAGTCGTGCCTTTCTACAGAAGATTTACATTTTTGATATTGTTGAAATAGAAAGCAAGCCAGCAAAATTACATGTTAGCACAGTAGAGAGAAAAAGCTGAAGTGCGTAGTTATGAAAGATGGAAGCATGGCGAAGAGAAAAGTTTTGGTTTACAAAGACAGTTTCAGTTTCCAATTATTACGTCATCAGAGCTGCGTGAGCCATAGAGTGATCTAGAAATGACGCAATGCAGAGAAGTTATTACGATTTTAGAGTAGAGAGGAAGAATTAATGTTTATAGTTATATTATAATTCTGATTCATATAATTTTATCTTACATAATTTCCCCCTTCAAAAAGAAAAATACGTAGTGACAGAGAAGCCTTTTTAAAGAGAAAGAGTTTAAACACTAGCAAATGTTTAAAAAAAAAAAATAATAAATAAATAAATAAAATAAAATTTTTGTCCTGTAAAGTATAATTTATAAATATAAATTTTTTTAAATAAATTTTTAATTTTTAGAATCCTATTGAATTTTTCTGTTTGAGAGTTCACATAATCATAATTCTTCAGGGAAGGTTCTTGTTATTGCAAAATATCGCAAAATAAACTTTTACATAATTTGTTTGGGTTTCATCCCAAATAACACACACTAAATACATTTGCTGGTTCG